TGGAGATTGTTATTATGACCATTTATTACCGGTAAACTTTTTATTTTCCTTCTAAATACCACAAGTATTTTACGTGAGAAGCAATTTGACTTGAGTCATATATAATTAGAAGGTGTAGTAAAAAAATTTCTTTAAATATTTAATATAATTAAATGTTTAAGACTTTAACTCAAGAATATTGGTTCAACCAATCTTATATTACTTTATTAACACACTTGAAAACACTTAGAATATCTACAATAGGAGTTGTTTATAAGCAATTTTCATCCACTTTAAATGAGTCTCACTGTGTCATATCACTCATAAGTAACTCATACTATATTTTTATAATTTTTACTTGAATGGAAGTTGCTAAACATTTTCACTTTAAGAAAAATGTAAGGGAATAATGGATATATATAAATATGCTCCCCAATGGTGAAGCAGCACTTGAAAAGTGCCAAAGAGGGAATGGAGGGTATAAAATTGAACGAATGAGAAAGAGACAGAGAGATTGAGAGTATGGCCCACCCACGAGTCATCTTTTCTTCCTTCAAAAGTAAAGCAAATGGCACTGTTTGTTTGGGAGAGAACTCTGTCTCTCAATTACCTCACACTCTACACTCTCTGCTCCCGCGCGTCTAACTCTTCATACTCTTCTCATTCTTTTTCGATACTTTCTTTTTTTCTTTTTTTCCTTTCGCAAACATCCTATAAACTTTATATCAAAGCTTAATTTATTTTTATAAAACCTATTTTTAATTTATTTAGGTTTGTGACAAAAAGTATATGTCACTAATTAATGAACTTATTTAATTGAAAATATAAAGATTGATAAATAAGTTTATCTTACTATTTTTAATTGTAATTTTAAAGTCTATAATGATTATTATTATTATTCTTTTAGTTTTACTCTCTATTTTAGATTTTTTTTCATTTATCACCTCATTTCTTATTGTTATATTTATATAGTTTATTTTAATTATCATAAAATTTATTTTTAATTTAATATTTTTATTTTAAATTAAATTAATAATACCTTTAAAATAATGTAAACAAGTCAAATTGAATTGAATTTATGACTTAATTTCTCTTCATCTTTATTTTGTTATTTTAATTTTTTGCTTAATGTATCTTGGGTTCATCAAGTATTACATTCCAGTAATTTTAGTCCCAAAGTTTCAATTATATAGTTTGAGTTTCTTAACCACTATATTTATGCATTTTTAGTCTTTGCCACATTAGTACCATGTCATTGTATCAATTTTACTTATCAATTTTGTATTTTTTTGTCATGTCATTTAATATTGTCAGGTCATGAAAATTTGTTATAATTTTAAAAAAGATTGATATTGAAGATTAAAAGCACAATTGTAATACATAGGGACCCAATTTGATCAAATAAATTTTAAGAACCCAAATTGCAAAAGTTTATCTTAAGAGTCCAAAAATATATTTAAACTTAATTTTTAATCTAATAATCAAATATGAGTTACTAATTAAAATCATTAGATTAATATAAAACAAAAATTAAAAATAAATATTAATAATGATTTTTTTAAAATTATTCTGAGTAAACCAATTATGTTTCTAAAAATTATATAAGTTTTATATCATTATACATTTATTAAATAATTAAATCCTTAATTTGATTAAATGTTTTTAATTCAATAAACTGATTTAACAACTTTCAAAAATGAAAGACATTTTTTAACCTTTAATTACCTTATCAACTGTTTTTACTAAATATAATCATATTGTTTAACTGTTTTTACTAGGTTTGATATTAACCTAGGGCAGCATCTTTAATTTGTCTAACTACATCATTTCAACGTAGGATTGCGTTAGTCTTTCTAATTAGCTACATCAAATAAATGCAGAAAGTTTGTTCTTAAAGATTAATTTCTGATAAAGAACTAATTTTAGCTGACACGAATAACACATTCTAATTATTGTTGTTGCGGCGGGTATGGGTGTGAAAACAAACTAAATAAATCGGTTTGAATTTGAATTCGAATTGCATCATTTTGAAAAACTTAAATCACCTTGTTTAAATAAAATAAATTTAAAATTAAACTACATGTATAATTAGGTTTAGTGCAATGGTATACTATTTTTAAATAATTAAATTAAATTAAATCAAAATAATTTACTTATATCTCATTTTTTACAATTTAATAATTTACAATATCGCATAAAATGTTTGAATATTATTTACAATCATTGTATTTTTATTTTTCTTTTTTTAATAATTATTTTATTGTCTTTAAATTATTAAAATAAATATTAGTTATCAAATCATGTTTCATAATTAATTTTTCACATGATAATTATAGATCTCTAATGTTTTTGAATTGATCTTTATGAGTTCATTTGCATAAGAAAAATCTTTTAAATTTTTTTAATAAAATAATCAATTCTGTGCCTTTTACGATGTGTTTATCCATTTAATTAGACTTTGAGTTAAATGTCTAATTAATAAAAGAAAATTCCTCTAAAGAGTACATTAATCATGATTTTGTTCGTAGAAAAAAAATCTTAAAAAAACTAGATCTCTAATGTTTTTGAATTGATCTTTATGAGTTCATTTGCATAAGAAAAATCTTTTAAATTTTTTTAATAAAATAATCAATTCTGTGCCTTTTACGATGTGTTTATCCATTTAATTAGACTTTGAGTTAAATGTCTAATTAATAAAAGAAAATTCCTCTAAAGAGTACATTAATCATGATTTTGTTCGTAGAAAAAAAATCTTAAAAAAACTAATTTAAAACTAGTTCAATTCTTAAAACTAGTTTGAAATTGATTTGGTTCCCAAACTAGTTATAAATCAATTTTGAACTGTTAATAAAAGTAGTTTAGTTTTAAACTAGATTAATGTAGTTCAAATGATTTATAAATCGATCAGTTCAATTTGATAAAATGATGTGATAGGATTTAGCGTAATTTTTTTAAAAAGTCGAATTATGTACAACCCTAATTACCATTGAAGTTGTATCATAAATTTAAGCTTTGATGATTATTAATTGTTTAATTTTTTTTTATAGATGTGATACGTACACTGTCTAAAAATGATAATAAAAAATTAATTTATTATTACATGACATAAATTTATTTAATAAAATATTATTTTGATAATAATAGAAATCGATTAAAAGAGTATCATGACATACCCGTATCCATTTGTTCGGTATTTCGTGGTTTTGTATCACGTTTTGGTGTCGGGATATTGTCCCATTTGTTTTTTTTTTTTGATGGATCTGCTGGTCACTCTGGTTTTTCTTGTCTATTATCAATAACTCTAATTCCCCACAGCTATAAAGAAAATTAATTTCAAAAAAATGAAGAAAAATAAAAGAAAGAGGTAGCATTTTACGTATAGTTTTAAACTCGTTTTCTCACTTTTCCTTCCAATTTTTCCATTACATAACTATGCACGATTAGAAGAATTTAAAGCTCATTGTTGTATAAAACAAAGGGACAAGGATGATTTATTCATCAAAAAATTTACAAGTTACATCTATATACACAAACAATTTATTTGGTTAATTAAGAATTTAACATAAATGATTCAACATTTATATTTTTTAATTAAGAAGTTAAATTCGATTACTAACTTGAATATGAGTAATAATTAAATGTTGACTTAAATATGATTTTAGTTCTTTAAATTTAGGGTAAATTTGTTTTTGGTCCATCAAATTTAAAATTATTATTTTTAGTTTATGTAATTTCAAAAAATCTTATTTTAGTTCTTATATTCAAAATTTTTTTAAAAATTTATTAAACATTATTGTATAAAATCTACTTATTGATATTCCTATTAATGAAAATATCACATTAATTAATCCAGTTGATATTGCATAACCGTCTTAATTTATCACTTTTAAATATATTATTGATGATCTAATAGACTAAAATAAGATTTTTTAAAATTACAATGATTAAAAATAATAATTTTAAATTTGAAGGACCAAAAACAAATTTATCTTAAATTTAAGAGACCAAAAACATATTTAAACCTTAAAGGTGTTATATAAATTTTATAGAAATTGACTCGGTGAAAAGAATTCATATTTTTTTTATTAAAAATGAAAACTTTTGAAGCTACTATAAATTCTTTCTTTTTACTCATATATCCTCTTGTTAAATAAATAGGTTATCGAATATTTATAAGGTTTAATATGTTATTATGTCTATGAATTTTGTAGAAAATTTTAATTAGATTTTTAAATTAAAATGAATTATATTTGAGACCTTAACTTTTACAATTTTTGTAATTTTATAGTTGATTTTTGACGACAAAAAATCGTTACAAAAAATAATAATGTGTAATGATTTTAGTAACTCGGAAGACCCGATTATAAAAATTTTAGAAGTTCAAAGAACCAATTACAAATTTTGTAGTTCAATAACTTGGCTAAAAATTTTCAAAAAGAAAAAATAGATACCTACTAATTAATTAAACCAATTTATGAAATTTCTAAAATATTAAACAAATTTAATTTCTATTTTTCAATAATTATTCATAAAATATTTTAAAAAACGTAGCAACATAGTATAACATTATTGTTAAGAAAGATATGTGATAATTTGCTAATTTCTTTATATTCTTTGCCATATTAGTCCATTGAAAAAGGCATTATGGTGAAAAGAAAATAATTAGAAAACACAGAATTAAACATTAAGTGACAAATCCAGCACAATAGAGTTGCCCCAGTCGCACCTTTCGACCAAAAACACCCTGTCGTTTACTCGCACTTGTCCTGAACCTTGGGCGGGGACCACCGACAACCGCCGCTGCACCACCCACGCGCCATCGCGCGTGTTCCTTCGCCCAAAATATCTCCATCGGAAACGTGACGTGTACCAAAGCGAAGCGAGGGTAGGCCCCACCACGATCTTTGAGCGAATATCACAACCCCTCTCGATGCTTGCCACGTAGCACTCCTCCGCTACTGTGCTTGCGTCCCCTTTATATACGCGGTGCTCCCTCATCCAAAGAAAAAAAAAAACTTAAACTCTCCCATACATTTTATCTCTCTCTCTTTCACTCACTCTCACTCTCTCTGTCACGGACAGAGAAAAACTCAGACACCCACGTTCACATTTTGCACACACCATCCCTCACTGTCTGTTACTCTTCCTCTTTCATTTTCATTTTCTTCATCTTCTTCTTCTTTTTCTTTTCTTATTGATGGAATGATGGAACACAACATCATCGTCAACACCAACGCCAACAACAACGTGATCGCACCGTTTGTCATTAAAACGTACAACATGGTGAACGATCCCACCACCGATAAACTCATCACGTGGGGCCCACACAACAACAGCTTCGTCGTCCTCGACCCCCTCGACTTCTCTCACTCCCTCCTCCCTGCCTTCTTCAAGCACAACAACTTCTCCAGCTTCGTTCGCCAACTCAACACCTACGTTAGTATCTTTCTTATATTCTTTTCTTTATTTTTTCTCATATAAAACATTTTCATTAACATATATATAGTATATAACTATAGATGTGGAGATAAAGTTAACAAAACTCCAATTTTGTTTCCAAAACACAATCAAAGATACTAAAAACAACTACATCCAAGTTTTGCGAACTCACTTCTAAAATATCATTCAAGCCTCAGTTCAGTTGGTAGAAAGTTGTGGTTAAGTTTTCTGATACTAAATTCGATTTTTACGGATACAAAAAAACTCATTTCCAAAATCAGATTCTTCTTCCATTAGATGCCGTTTCCATTAGATAAAGCTCTAATTTTGATAGAGAATGATAGAGAACATAGGTAAACAGCAAAAACAGGTAAGAATTGAAACTAAATTTTAGAAATTGAACGCAACCCACTTCCCAAAATCAGACTTTTCTTCTGTTAGATGCAGTTGTTAATTGGATAAAGCTCTAATTTTAATGGAGCTAGAACAAAGGTAAACACTAAAAACACATAAGAATTGAATCTAAATTTTAGATTTTGAACACAACCCACTTCCCAAAATCAGATTTTTAATCGTGGGTATCTCTTTTTTTTTTTTTTTTTTTCATAATTCGGATTACTTTATCTTCTTCTTTTTTGTTTTTAATTTTTAGGGTTTCAGAAAGGTGGATCCGGATCGGTGGGAATTCGCGAACGAGTGGTTCCTGCGGGGGCAGAAGCACTTGCTGAGGAACATCGTGCGGAGGAAGCACGGCGGAGGGAGGAGCAATTCGCATCCGTTGAAGGTGGAGGAGTTGGACGACGAAGCCATGGTTATGGAGATAGCGAGGTTGAAGGAGGAACAGAAAGCGTTGGAACAAGAGCTTCAAGGAATGAACAAAAGGTTAGAAACAACCGAGAAACGACCCCAACAAATGATGGCTTTTCTCTGCAAAGTCGTCGAAGACCCTCAAGTTCTCTCTCGAATGCTTAAGGAGAGAGAAAAAAAACACATCGGAGACAAAAGGCGCCGCCTCATACCACCGCCGTTGACGGCTGCGCCGGCAACCACGTCCTCATCGTCGTCATCCGGTGTCAAGACGGAGTTCGAAGAGGACGAGGGTAATTACATGATGTCTTCGTCGCCAGAGACGGGGTTTGAAATAGATTATAATAATAGTAATAATTATGGGTATGATTGCGCCGCCATGCCGGCGCCGTTGACGGTGGTGTCTCCGGAGGCGGCGATGGGAGGAGGCTATGTGGGGCGTGGGGAGTTTTTTGGGGAAATGGCGGCGGAAGGGAATACTCTGCCGCCTTATCCGTTTTCTCTTTTGGAAGGTGGCTTTTAGATTTAGTTTTATTTTTAGGTTATGAAATATGAATGAATGGATTAATGGATGAATTATATTACTGCCACAAGATTTTATCTTAGATTCTGTCTTTTTGTATTCAAAAGTTCTATCTTTTTTGTGCTTGATTCTATGTAAAGAAAAGGAAAAAAGTTTACGGAAAATTTGTTAGAAATTTATATTTGTGTTCAGCTTTTTTGGGTTAATGTTTTGCATATATATTGTTTTAAATAAATATTTTAATTTTGTAGTGAATGAGCATAAACTAGTAAGGGAATACTTTATATTGAGTTAAATATAATTTTTTTCATATGATTTATCTTTTTTACTTTTGTTTCTTGTAATTCCTGTTGTAGATATTTTTTTTCTTAACTTTTTAATGATTTTTTTAAGATAGTTTTTATTGATAATTTTTGTTAAAAAAATTATATTTAATAAACGAAATAAATATTATATTTGTTATATTTTAATTCTATTGTTGTCATGTAAGTAAATTTATTTTAATTATTTTTAGACAATTTAAAATTTATTTTATTATTATCATTTTATCATTTTGTTTACTCATTTCTTTTGGACTATGAAATGTCGCATCTTATGTGTGTTTAACAATAAAGTTAGATTAGTTTTTTTTTATATGGGTGTTTCGTACATTATTGTTATAGTGATTATAGTAGGTGGTCTTGATGGTCTAAAGCTATCTGACGCAATTATTTTTTACTTTGGAGGAGCAACATTGTTTATGACACCGATAGAGTGGGCTATTGCTCCGGTGCCCTTTTATTTGAAGGGGTTT